AACTTGAACCAATGAAGGCACTATATACTTGCGAAAGTGAGAACCACTTGGAACAGCTCAGAAAACATACTACACGATTGTATATTATATTTATTCAAAAACTGTGAGAGACTTGAGCATTTCATTAAATGTGTTGACTGATACCCAAAGCACTCGCTGATGCTAACAAAAATGATTGTTCAAACATTTTTTGGAAAAGCAGGAAAGGCAAAAAAAGGAGGGAATATTTCAAACGATTCTTTAGCCCTCTGATAAATTTGTTGCTGATATTAAACTCGTACCCACAATTGGTTCTTAATTTCAACCTCTCCCAAGAGCTCTTTGCACATTGAAGTTCTAAACAGTTCCGTTCACTGAAGGACGGAAAGGCATGAACACATGGGACATATTTCAACTTTCTTATTAGGAAAACCATATTTTAATAAAGAGCAATAATTTAACTTTTTTTATTATTTGCTTATCTCACATATCGCTCTAGTTCAGTTTCTTTGTGTATTTGGTTTTCGTTAAGCAGGTTGATTTTCACGCCACACTCACATCTCTATTGCATACTACTGGCGCTAGCAACAACAATAATGCAAATATTTTCCGGCTTGCCTACAGACAGTCGCGCCACAAAGACGGGGAATACAAAATGTTCAAAATTGCAGCAAACGTTTGAAAAGCAGTTTGCACTTGATTTGCTTTGGATGGAGCTGTCGAGTGCTGTCTAGTCAGAATTAACCAAAACTATGTTAATTAAATTAAGCCAAACAGCGTTTTGGCAATATTAGTTTTGATGAAATGAGTTGTGAATTAAGCATATTCATGTTAAACCCTTTTTGGAAAAGCGACCGGATGTTTGTCTGACAGGTTCACCTGCCACCAGATGGTATTTAAGTATTTTTTGACTTCCATCATTTTACGAACCACAAGCTAAATAAATTATATATACATGAATATTTAAATATCTGTAAAGAACAATAAATACAGGCAATGAAACATGTTGCTATTAACCAGGAATTTAGTTTTAGTTTTTGCTATTTAACATTTATTTTAAGATTTGTAGACGATGCCAAAGCAAACAGATATAATATTTCAGGATTTTAAGCTTCAGCTCTTAAAATTGTATTAAGGGCTTTCAGCTCATGCGACAAGCGTTGCACCTAATCAAATGTATTTTATCTAACCTAATGGATAAATATCTTATGTAATATTCAATTAATTTACAAACTTATCTTGCAATAAAAGCATCTACAAAAACGTTGGCGAATTTGTATAAAGCAGTTATAATACCAATGAATAGTTTAAAGCAATCCCTTATGCAATTTGATATTTTTACAAAAACTTAAGACTTTGAATTTTTACTGAAGAGACAAATTTCAATATGCAATTATTGGTATGGGAAGCTGCGACTGACACTTGACATTTGCAGCCGGCATTCGGACATTTATTTGAGTTTCAATTTGTTTTCTGCAACTTGGAAAAGTTTTGCAGACTTGCACATACTAGTTGCAGACAATGGTTTGCCCACCTTTTCTCGTGTTGCTACAATCTGCCAGAAACAATAGCTTAATTAAAACTTTTATTTTTGTATGCACTTGTTTCTCCTAGGCTAGTTAGATTAGGTTTATTGGGCAACAAATTGAATTTAGGATACAAAAACAATTGATTACTAGTCATGTAAATGCCAGCACCAATGATAAGAATAAGTGAACTTATAATTATAATCAAATAAAAAAAAGATGCACTTTAAATGGCATTTATTTCGAGAGGAAGCACTTAGAAGGTGCAACCATGTTAGCAACAAGTTGAGTTCCACCACGATTTTTAAAGAAAATCCGATCCACCTTTGATACCCTCAGTATTTAGTAAGGGAAACAGAAATTTTCCTTAGAAAATAGTGTAGTTACTTCCATTTATATACATATATAATAGTATAATACATTCAATCACAATGTTCAATCACTCTATTTCTCTCATTTGAATCTATTTATAAATTGCATCTCGTTAGTATAGTTAATGAATATGTAAATGGATGCTGCACAGTTTTAATCTGACTGATTAAATTAAAATGATTAAGCTAGTATGAGATTCAGCTCAGTTAGTTATTAATTATTATTTATTTCGAAGCATACTTTTAGGGCGCCAGCAATAATCGGCACATAGGCTGTTCATAGCAGACAGCTTTGTGTCAACATTTATAAGCGCAGTTACATATTTTTACAACTGTTACTTTTGTTTGATTTTGCAAATTTTTTGCGACCCCCTGGCCTTGCGTTCAGTTGGTAACTTGGAGACCTACATTTAGTTATTATTATAAAATTATGATTATTATTATTATAATATATAGGTATTGTATAATAAGTAAACAACAATTAACAAAAAACTGTGTTTTAAGATATAAATATGTGGCTTATTTAAAAACATGTTGAATCAATTCCCTTTTAATAACCCATTAAATATAATTAACCTGGGAGATAAATAAATTGATAAGCCTACTTAGTCTATTTTAAATCAAGGTTATCACTAATATAGCTAAAAAGGAAAAATACAAGAAACAATTGTACATACAGCCTTTCGCAAAGCCGGTACATTTGGAAAAGATATTTAGCGTCGATAGCCAAATTTAAACAACAAACAGAAGGGCAGTCAGCTAGACATTGAGGAGTATAATGAATACATTAGAATTGATAGTAAATGTAGCATGAGTTTTAAATATCTAACTTTTTTAGGAAATATGTACAATATTTCCATCCAATGTTTTTCTTAATTAATGTACCTTACCTTAACAAAGTACACAGATTTATATACATTATATTAAAAAAAAAACATTTTAATCTGGTAATGAAATCAATTTTATTACAAAAACAGCTTTTGCAAGCTATGTCAAGCTAACTGGGGGAAGAGACTTACATCTGAAGTGCACCCAAGAAAAATGTCTCTTTATTGCTCATTACAACATATTAACCGGTTATTTGCTAGCTTAACATTTGATACGAGCTACGGGGTCCAATAAACTCACTACACACGCCCCCTCCCCCAACACTATCGAGAGCGAGAGTTCATCTAATCGAGTCAATGACTTGGCAATATGTATGTATATTTGCATATATAGCAGTGGTTGTCTGTGCAAAACCCACCAGGTCTTATTTAATAAATGTTTGTGTATTCTCCACGCGCTTCAATAAACGCGACATCCAAAACAAAATCTTCTCTTTTCGCAAAACTCGCAAATTTGTGATAATAGTTTGGGTAAACTAATCGTCAGGCACATAACAAGCTAATGTAAACTTGGGCAAATGACAGAGCTGACAAAATATGAGAATAATCCAGCATGAACGTACATATGTATGTACATACTCGTGTGTGTTTGAAGACGGAAAGCGGCAGATGTGCCTCATTCTGAGCTATGAACAAAAACAGTGCCGCTGCATACAAACAACAACATTTGCATCTTAATAAGCCGCCAGGCTCGTCGACGACTCTAATTGTCGTATTCTAGGTTTTAAGTAGCAAGAAAAGTTGAAAGTTAACTGCTGTCTGCGATCAAGAAATCTTCTGTTGTCATAGCATTTATAGCGTTTCATTGCGCGGTGATGCTTATACTCGCGTTTTATTTTAATTTACTGCAAAACAAACCATGACATACTACTCACTTGTATATGTACAAGTATGAAGGAAAAAGATACGTAGCTTAGATGCATTGTAAGGCATTGATAAAATGTGACATACTTACAAATGTTCTGAGACAGATTGACTTTTAAGTAGCAGCCTCGATTGTCTTAAGAATGCTTTTTTATAATGTAAATAATTAGTATTTGGCATAGTTATTAGATTTAAGTGCAATCCTATAGATGTATTCTCTGGTTAATTGCTTTTTAAGCCTACCCTAAAAACTACGTACCCCCAATAAAAGAACAGTTTGCTTCTTAATGCAAAAGTTCACCCTTGCTTGTGACTACTTACATTTGAAAGTAAGATATGAGCATGTGATGTGAAATTCTTTTGAAATATTCCTATAATGTTGGTATGAAATTAATAAATAAAATTAAGCTTAATAAATAGAAGTGGTGTAATTATTTTGATTGTGTTTTAATTGTTTTAGTTACCCATGATCTATTTACCAACCAATTACTTCCATTCTGTTAGTTTGTAATTTTTGTGTATTGTAAAGTAGCAACTACTCTTACTTCTGTCCAGCAGAAGCAATCACCACAACATTTTAGCAAGTACTAATCAGGCTCTTCCACTGTGCGCACTGCACAGACAACGTGGCAATTGTTATTCCTCAACTCTAAAACCTGTCCTAGCTTTTGCGTTTCGAGCCACAACAACAAAAAAGAGCGAGAAACCCGTTCAGTGGACTCCTTGCTTAGATCTTAGACCCCAAAGGCAGTGGCGATTAATAGAACGGCAACTCGACGTCGATTGCAAGATTTTTTTACAAACAGCTGTGAGGCCCTTTTGAAATGCATCGGCAAAAACTTGGCTTGCAAGCTGCTGATTGAATTCCTCGCACTTATTGCATGAGGCATTATGATTATCATAATTGTGACAAGTTCTCCAGCCACCAGGCGACAGTGGAGGTAGGCTGCCCGGACGGAGGGAGAGGTGACTTAGATAAATGCAGTGCAAACAACAAGCAATGAAACAAGATAAACCAACAAATACCTGCCTGATCCCAGAGTCTGCTGCCCAGACAGGCAACGACAACGACAACAGCAACAACAACCACGACAGCGACAACGACAACATCGCGACGTCAAAGACGGCAGTGTTGATAAGGTGCCAACAGCTGCTCATGCATATGTATGAGTGGGAGAGAATATCTGGATGTGTGTGGGTGTGTGTGTAGGGGTGCGTTGACTCACACATGTACACATGCATGCATATGTATGCTGCATGATGTGTGTATAAAATCGTGCGCCTAGCTGCAAACAGTTCAGTCAGTCTTCAAACAACTGGGAGAAGCAGCAGTCTCGATCGCACGTAATCGAACATAATAATCGTCGCAGAGCCGGAGGTCCAAAAATAGCGTCAAAGTCAAAAGGAAAAATAAAAACAAAACGTCACCGGAAAGTCCATGAGTATCCACTTAATATTGTAATTAAATATTTTCCGTGACGGTGCGATATTCACGCACTTCATCAATCGAAAATACCCGTATCTTTCATGTCTACCCAAACTTCAATCCAAGTCGCCGTCGCCAGTGCTCGAAAAGTGCACGAGATACAAATCAGATAGATAGCTACATATATAAAAATAAACACTTCGAGCGTCTAAGAAAAAACCCAAATAATAACAACTTGTGCGAAATCGAACTATAATCTATTTGAAAAACCCGGATTCTATAATTACGAATTTTCTTGAACTTTCTGCGCACATTGTATTCGATTGTATGGGTAGAGTTATGAGAGTGAATTCCCTGCCGCCGCCCGCCCACAAGTGCAACGTCTTCGCTCGCTCCCAAAACCAAGACCAGAATCAATTGAAGTTGAAGAAAACCAAAATATATTTTATGTTTAAGAATCTGTGCAAGAGAAAAACTTTAAGAAAAAATCATTTATTGACATTAAAAAGCGAGCAAAGTGAATAAAATTGTTGACCTAATCGTGCGAAATCAATCCAAAAATATACATACTTAACTTTAAAAAAACCGACACAAGCAAAAGCGAAAACAAAAAGTAATTCACAAACTAAGTAGAAACATTTATTTTCCTCTAGGTAAGTATTACAAAATTACATAGTTTAATTAGCCAATTATTAATTCGACACTTAGTTGTATGACTAAATACTGATTGATAATGGGTTATGTCATAGATTTAATAGATTCCGTTTCTCAGTTCAAAGCAGGCCGTCGAATTCACAAATTGTTATTCTTCGGAATGTCGTGTTCAAGCTCAGTTAAGTTACAAATTATGCCTAACTTCCCTTTTTATAATAATGGCATGCCTATGTGCGATAGCACGAGCACCTCATCTATTAAACATTGTTCAAAATTAATCGTGTTAAAGTAAAATTCGCACCAATAAAAAATATATTTGAATTTTAAAGCAGCTGCGCTTCATGTAAATTGGAAATCTTTGCAAATAAGGCAAGCAAATAAAAAAGGTTTTATGTGTGAAAATCTATTGTATGGTAAACACTAATCGGTCAATATTTATGTATAGTATTCATATACATAGTATCCAAAGCAGCTGTGGAGACCACAATTCGTTTCCGCTTTGAGAATCAGACAGAAGAGCTGCAGACAGAAACTAAACTTGAACTTGAACTCGAATCACCCTAGCCTTGACCCACTTAGACCAGCCAAAATACGCACAGATACAGGTATCGTCAAATATATCTATAAAAACTTTCACTTTCTTCGAAAGCCAACAGCTGTGGCATCGACAAACGACAGATGGCAAACAGCAATATCTTTCCAGTTTTTTTACAAGTCATTCACAGACCGACCAACCAATTCCGATACCGGTTCTTCATTATCAATACTTCCTAGTCACCCATCATCACAACAACAAACTTAAGAGGAAAAAAATCGTTGTTAATTCATAAATAATGCTGACCCAGTCAGTGCGATATTTTAAATGTTGATTTTATTTTCAAGTGTATTGCATAGTACGAATTTTGTGCCCTGGGCCATGTGCCACAGAAAGTACAGACCAATACGCCCACCCATGTGACCCGCAGCTCTGTTCAATTAGACCCATATGTGCATATACACTCGTACTTCACAATCGCAGTTCGCTTTGTGTCGGCCGACATTTGTGAGCAGCTAGAGCGACAATGGCCCGCGATGTCAACGTCACCCACAAGCGCACAAATTAGTTTTTTGTATCTTAAATAAAATATTTTGTATAGTCACAACAGCTCTGTTGATTAAGCTTTATGCGATTTGGTCAACGTATCTCCACCGCCAAGTCTCAGTAGTGACTTGGACTCGAGGCGTTTTGGTTGTTCGAAATTTAGACGCAGCTAGTCGGAGCTATTTAACTATTATTATTGAATTAATTCAATCGTTTAGCGTCTAATAAACACCCAATTCATATGCATCAACGAAAGTGTCGCAGATATCCGCTTACCTATTTAGTGGCCTAACAATGTGGTTCATCGTGAAGTTCAAGCAGAAGGACACTAGAATTATTTAGCGAGCCTTAAAGTGTTGTGCGATATACATATATGTGAACAAATCAAAGCTGTGATAATATTAAAAACTAAATAGACGAAGTCTATTATACCGGGCCTGACAAATATTCATTTCTTCACGTTTAAGAAAGCGAACACGAACTGTGATACATTTTAAACAAAAAAACAAAGGTAGAGCACGATATTTATATATGCTTATAACTTTTCCTTAGTCGATCCCATTTATTTCCCTTTTTATTTAAAAACAATAAGTTTAACTAAAAAGTCTAGGCCCCTCAGCTGGCTTTCTTCGATTTCTTGAGCACGTGCTGAAGCACAATTTTTAACGACAATGGTTTCAATGGTTGACAAATAGACGTGCTATTCATCGCGCCGAAAAATCAAAAAAAAAAATGGAATCACATGTAGCCTAGCAATCAGATTATAGACTGAGTTAATAAAACTTCGCGGAAAGCATCACAAAAATTCGCATAACGCAGCAACAGCTCTTTTCTATTAAAAAGACTTTATAAACCTCTGTTTATCGTAATACTTTTTTTATTTGGCTGTTTAATGAAACTAACTGGATAAATATCCCACTTGGGAACCGAACTAAAAGTTCAGCATTCCTGCATCGAAAATTGGGTATTTAAATATATTGGAGCAGAATAATACAATTTAAAATCATGATGCTGTTGGCCAATATATAGTAGTAGTAGCACAAGACCTGATTATGGATTTATCGAACAAACTTTAGAGAAAACAAATCGTTGTTAATTCATAAATAATGCTGACCCAGTCAGTGCGATATTTGAAATGTTTATTTCTAATAATTATTCGCAGACATGGATTGGCATTATAATTATTAATATAGAATCAACTTACAAGTCCAATTGTGGGCTAAATTTCAACCGAGACAAACAAAGGCACCTGATAAGAATCCGGTACGTCGTGCCGCTGCAAACCGATATGAAATGATTGTATATACATATATGTATATATATATATATATACATATTTATATGTGAGTGTGGCGATGCATTGATTTTGTGCATTGCCTATTTTTCTTGCTTGTAATTATTTTGTTTGTAAACAAAACGAAAATTAAGATTAGACATAATATACTCACTAACATATATAAACGTATATATATGTGCATAAGCATAATCCATTCGCGTTTAGCAAATCCATATAGACGATTTTTTAAAGAAAGCCATAAGCCCTAGGCCTTGGAAAGCTCAGAGTAAATAAGCTCCAATTGAGTTCCAATTTATGTTTCGACAATGCTCGTAGTCTGTTCAATTAATATTTCATATTTCGTTTATGGAGCTTTAGATAAATCGTAAATATATGTACGTCTATCATATGACGCGCTGAAGCTGACGTTTCAATTAATTAAGTTCAATGTCTTCAGTCTTCATCGTGTTTTATTTATGCCTCGAACATTTAAGAGAACGGAATGAGGAATGCAAGCGCTGCAGTAATTGAAAACATTTTACGTTAAGCATGAGCATGTCAGAGAACTTAACCATTTTATCATTTCGATTTCTGTTTTGTTTGCCTCTCAGAGATATATTTAAGGCGAATTTTGGAAAGATTTGTGAGCCCAGATCTGCACGATGGTTGGAGTTGCCGCCCCATCTCTGGCCGCAGAGCTGTCATCGTCGAAGAATCCGATGATCAAGTATATGCTGAAGACACGCGAGAATCACGCACGAACCCAAGATGCAGACTATTCGCATGTCTTTCGGCGCAAGACGGGCTTCGAGCTCTTCCGCCTCTCTGCCATCGCGATGGCCATTGAGTTCGCGTATGCGGCGGAGACCTCATTCGTGTCCCCGATTCTGCTGCAGATCGGCATCGATCACAAGCACATGACCATGGCATGGGGTCTGTCACCGCTCATAGGGTTCTTCGTGTCGCCGCTGCTGGGCAGTGTGAGTGATCGCTGTAGATTGCGTTGGGGTCGTCGTCGTCCCATCATATCCGTGCTTTCGTTGGGAATCCTATGCGGCCTTATACTGGTGCCATATGGCAAGCAGCTGGGCGAACTGCTAGGCGATGTGGGCTATAACATTACAGAGCCTATGGTGAATAACTATACGAATTTGATCGGTGATGGGACTGTGGCAGCATTGGTGGCACCTGCGACGGAGGAGGTTTCGCCCGCCAACTTTAAATATGCTGTCATTCTGACAATTCTGGGCATGGTCTTGCTGGACTTTGATGCGGACACCTGTCAGACGCCAGCACGCACCTACTTGCTTGATATGTGCGTGCCGGAGGAGCAGCCGCGTGCACTCACTATGTTTACACTTTTCGCTGGATTTGGCGGTACCATTGGCTATGCCATTGGTGGCATTGATTGGGAGACAACGAGTTTTGGCAACTTTCTGGGCGGCAATATACCCACGGTGTTTGGCCTAGTCACCATTATCTTCGTTATCTGTTACATCATTACGATCACCACGCTACGTGAGATTCCCTTGGAGCTTATCGAGCGGGACGAGCTATTACGTCCACTATCCGAGGCGGCCATCAAGCAGGAGTTGAAAAAGAATAACAACGCCATTTACTACATTAAAGAGACAACGACGCTGGAGTTGCAAATGGCAGACGATTTAAGGCAATCCGAAATGATGCAGGAAAGCTATCAGAATGGCTATTCTCCGAAGATGACGAACAAGTCCCAGGATGTTGAGCAGTCTTCTAATGTAGAGACGCCCATTACGCTCGGTGCCTATATCAAGAGCATTTTCATTATGCCAAAATCGATGCGCATCCTGGCGTTTACGAATTTGCTTTGCTGGATGGGGCACGTCACCTATTGCCTATACTTCACGGACTTTGTTGGTGAGGCGGTGTTCCACGGTGATCCCTCGGCGTCGCCCAATTCGGAACTGGCGTTGCTCTATGAGGAGGGCGTGCGATTTGGCTGCTGGGGCATGTCTATCTATGCACTATCCTGTTCGGTATACTCGCTAACTGTGACCAAGCTGATGAAGTGGTTTGGGTGAGCATGGCAGTCAGTCTCTTTTACTCCTGTGTCTATAATTGACTCTTTGTTGCAGCACGAAGGCGGTGTATATAAGCGGGATGGTCTACTACGGAATAGGCATGCTTATTTTGGGACTGTGGCCCACGAAATGGGGCGTCTTGGTGTTCAGCACTTCGGCGGGCATTCTGTACGGCACCCTCTTTACCTTGCCATTCATGTTAGTGGCGAACTACCATGCCAAAAACTGCGTAAGTACTATCTCTCTTAAAAATATTTTTTTGATTTTTCTTTTGCTAATCTCATATTCTTCGCCCTGACATTAGTTCCACGTGCACAATGGAGAGACAGTGCCACTGAAACAGGCACGTGGCTTAGGAACAGATGTGGCCATTATCAGCAGCATGGTATTTATTGCCCAACTCATCGTATCTCTTTTTGTGGGTCCGCTAGTCTCCTGGATGGGAACCACATGCGCCATTCTGTACGCCTCGACTGTCTTATCCTTCTTAGCTGCCATTTCGGCCATGTTTGTGCTGTATGTGTAGAGTATGGAGAGAGTTTCGTGTTTGTTCACGAACTCATTAACAACAACTTAAGGGCTTGCTTTGAATAACTTGCGATTGGTTCGCAATTTTCAATTACTCTATGTGCAATTGTGTAGACATCTGTGTAGAGATCTAAGTATGTATTGTAGTGCTAGTATTTTTTGCATATAAATAAAGAAAGAAGACGTTGCATAATTTCAGGCTGTGCCGTTTTTAGCTTTGCATACTCTTACCTGCTAAGACAAAAGGCGGATATTAACTCTGACGTTCGTGCATGGCATTTGTAACATTTAATTTCCTGAACTTTAATTTTTACTACGCCAATGCTCACAATTTCCTCGCCAGCAGCACATGCTGCATGGGTTCAGCTCCGTCTCTACTTTCTTTTAAATGTCACAAACTTATTTCCGTCGCCGCTTGAGTGATAAATTGTGTTAAATAAGTTGAGCGCATTGACTTTGGCATCATCGTGAAGCGAAGCTGACTCACTGCCATATAAGATCACGCCTCAATTTTGAAAAGATAAAGCCGAAAGTAATTCGTTTCCGATTGCTGTCTATAACTGAAAACGGTAAGCCTATCGATACGCATATTTAAGAGTCATTCCAGCTCTGAGGAACTTGAACTCTTTTTTTAGGTTTTCCTAAATCTGAACAAATAACAATCGCTGATTGTCTTATAATCAACAAAGTCGTAACAAATCTGCAAAGGTAAATTCATTTCAGGTTTGATTGTAGGGACTTAAACGGGAATCACGTGCACCGTTTATCCGGGAAATAAACTGGCGATGCGCTGACGAGCAGCACCAGCTCTCAGTGTTTGCTTGTGTTTGTATGGTTATGCTCGTGTGTCTGTGTGTGTGTGTGTATGTGTGTGTGCTTATCAATGGGTATGGTTGCGATTGAGTAGCTCGAAATTGCGGCAGCAATCCTGCAACAGCCCCAAAATCTATATGCATTGGCATTGTTTACGAAAACAGTCGATGAGTGCCGAATGGGGGATGAGTGGGAGAGTGTTTTGGCTTTTAAGGCGCAACTGTTGCTGCTTTTCCTTAACTGGGATATGAAATAAATCTCAAATTGAAGTAAAAGTTCACTGCTATTATTGTTGCTTTTATTTTACTTTTGGTAAGTACATGTTCTCCATTTAGAAACTGAAACACTTCTACATATTCGTTAAATTAAAGGTCCTACGCCATGTACTTGTAAATAATTCGTTTCATATATTTGTAACTTTATTCACATCTCCATTCTTTTTCATGTTGGTAGCAGTGTATCCCTAATATGGAACAATATAAAGTTGTACACTTTGAAGTCAATTGGCAATACAGACGTAGTTCATTAAATTGACGAATCAGAAAATTTTAATACAAGCTGCTTTGTTCATCTTTGAAGACTACATTTAAATTAATTTGTCCATTTTGTTGTTCTCAAAATACTGAAAAAAACTAAGTCCCTTACAAAAAACATATTTTTCAGTACAGTTACGGTTCTTAATTAGTCAAGGGGAGTAGTATGAACACATCTTGATCAGGAGAACGAGATAAGATATAGAGACAGTCATGGCCGTCTGTCCAGGGGATGATCTACATAATTGTAAGAGCAACAATTCAATATATTATCAGTCCATTTGTATTTGATTTTCCATAACCAATAAATTTTTTGGGATGTTTCACAACTACGGGTTTCCATTTGATTTGCGCTCAGATTCGCTTTCTTGGTGTTCGTAATACCGCGGAATCCGAAGCAATTTATTCCGGTTAACACTTGACTTCAAGCCCTATAAACTACAGGAGGTGAATTTTATCAATTTATATTTCCTGCCACAAACTTAAGCTGAGGTGGGAGTAGAGCAGGCGCGCAATCTACAGCTCTAAAGCGTTCATCCGCTATGGAGCTTCACGAACTTCTGAGTTTATTGAAAAATATGAAAATAGTTGATATTTAAATCAATTGGATATTTAGGCAGAGAGAATGCCCAAAGCAGAGATATGTAAATAGAATTGTGGGCTCTTTAATTTCTAGTAGATACTCGAATGGTGTTTTTATTTTTAATTGTCGAGCTGCAAAGAAAAAAGTTCAATGCCATTTCAGTTATTCATTTATTCTTCTTTAGCAGCCAACCAACTTGACTGGCATCTCGAGCGGGTTCAATCATAATTTATATGTAAATTATTTTATTTTTTGCCACCGCGAAACGCTTAACTTTTAACTATTTTTTGTGGATGCCGCAAGCAAACGCAGCCAACGCCATTTTGATACACATTTCTGCTTTGGCGAGGGCATGTCAAGCAGGCGACATGTGCAATAAAAGGGAAATAATATGCAAATGCAATTATGAAGAGCTCTCTGCGATATGAGGAAGACATCAAGCGGAGCCAAGCAGGCGAAGCTGTCAGAGCAAAGCCACAGCCAACCGGAAAAGTTTCCCCTTTTTTCTGATTTTTCATCTTTTCCGTTAACTTTGTTTCCATAACATAAGCAAGTGCATTGGGTTAAGGCCGCCCAATGGGCGGGGCACTACTGTTGATGGTTTTTATTGAATTTAAATTTGTTTTGGCACAACAAAAAACAATACTTGTATAAATAATATGGTTGCAAATTTCGAAAATTCGAAATTTTATTAATAACAATTGGAAACTTGAAGTATTTTGCATTTGATTTCATTATTTTTCATTTCATTTCCCAGTCAATTCAAATACTGTAGGCAGCAGCATCTGCAGCTAAAAGTGTCAGCTGGGCTGCAGACTACAGTCTCGATGAAGTTTCAAGCAAAATCGGAAAACTAACATGGGCCATAAATTAGAAGGCTGCACAGGCAACGTCCAATCCAAATATGTTTGCAGCTTTTACGCCTGTTTGATACGAAAGTTTTGTGAATGCCGGACGTGGCCGTTGGCCGTTGGCCGAGGACCCGAAAGCCTGAATGCCCGAAAACCCGAAAACCCGAGACCCCGCCTGTCTGACTGTCTGACATGAAATGTAATAAATTTCGTTATCTATGCATTATTTATCTCGTAATTTGGAATTTTAGCCCCCAACAGAAAAATTTAAAGGCTGGGCGCCTCATCGCATCGCATGCGCTTCACAGTGCAGCGACTCCATCATGCATGGTGAGTCCCTCAGACAGACAGAGGGCTGACAACCTACACACACATTTCCATTTGTGCCTACTACGTATTTACTGGTAGTATGTGATTTTGTGTAAAGACGCATAAATTACACTTATAGCACACTCCAAGAGTGCCAAAATATTTAAAATTATATTTGGGCGTGACGGGATAGTTTGAGCTCGAATATTAAAACGAAGTTTGTTTATTGATTGGGTTCTTCCTCTGATAACTTTGGAGTACTTTTATCATGCCGGATAGTCTGTCACTTAAACAATCTCAAGGACTTAATCACAAACACAACTTTACTCTAAAAACAGTGTTTACCGTGTACTAAGACTATGTATATTGAACTTGCATCTTGCAACTTTCACAATAATTCAAGATAATCATAGATCTACTACAGATTAAGGTTAATTGGTGCTTGCCCTTTATTTATACTTGTTTATTCTGTTTAAAGGTAAGTCATCATTAATAATTCAAGTTTTTCATTGATTAGACTATAACAAGGTATGTACTATAACTAATATAATAAAACATAAGGAGCTAATTAATTGTTAGTCCGCTTCAAACTTAAAGAATGCAACAAAAATGAATTTTGTAGAATGAATCACATCCACGTCTATTTTTAATTAATAATATTTTACCTTTGTTTGAAAAAGGATTCTTGGTTGGGTATGTGGAAATGGGAGAACGTCTGCTCACGTTTGTATATATCCCGCTGAATACTTTTATGCTTAGTAATTATGTTCCCGATTTAAGGATTGCTGCGCTATGCGAGGTATTTTTATCAAAATGGCTTTGCCTGAACATGATGGCACTGATAATGAATTTCACTGAATCTGACACATTCGGAATAGCTGCCGCTTCAAAAATGCAAAAGCAGGCGGCTGCTGCCAGTAGCCCAGACATTAGGAAAGCAAATTGATTTTGGCACTTGCTTGGCATTGTTTATTTTACTTATTGAGTGTCTAAGATATGCATTTGCCGACACCGTGACACACACCCTCATACACACACACACACACACGCACACACACACACACACGCACACACACACACACAACATGCTGGAGCATAAACCATGAGATGCCTCAAGACTAAAAGCAGCAGGCGCGCAAACGTTCTTGTACATTCATACATACAACTGTATGAACAGACAGACATACGCACATATTCTGCATGTGAGTAGGAAAATTGCATGAAAATTTTATTGGAATTTCTAGCTGCTTTATATGGCAATGCTTTTACAAGACTGCCTGCATGGTTGGTTGGTTGGTTGGTTGGTGGTTGGTGGTTGCTGGTCGGTTCGTTAGATGGTTGACTGTTTGGTTAGGTGGCTATGCCGCCACTTACAGCTACTTGAATTTCGCCTCGGATGCACTTACGCAATGTTTTTCCAACATAAATTGCATTTTCTACTATTGTCAACATGGCGTATGAATAACTTTTGTAAGAAACAACAACAGCTCCCCCACCATCTCACTCCAGCCCAGGCCAGCAGTCAGAAGAACGCAGTCGACAACTTGCTTATTGGGGGCTTGCTAGTGAAACACAATGAATTGAAGTGCATAAACACTTGTCGCTGCATGTGTGGGCATATACTATACATATACATACAAGTAGTATATACTTTTATGCATGTACACACAAGTATACTGAATTTTTAAATGCAAGTCGCGCATTGAAAATGCTGGAGCGTAGCGATATATTCCAGAAAGTCACAAGACAGTCTTACTTAATTAATGAACATAAACATTTCTCAACCCCAAAACTAATTGATAAGTAGTCAGCTATATATTTTTAAGCACTTCTTCAACGCAGAAATTTCCCCGCAGGTCGTGATTTCATAACTCCCGCAATTATTGGAATTTTTCAAATTTGCAAATACTTGCAGTTAGTGATTATATGTGCCAAGTTTTATCATGATTGGTTTCATACAAGTAGATAGAAAGGATAGATTGTAAAGGAAGTTATATATGTATTCTCAGCAGTTGTTGTTGTTTTGTATCAACTATATACTGCATACAAGCTCATGT